AGCAAGTAAATATATAATACCTACTAAATTTGTGCTACTATTAATACAAAACTATCTTATCCCTTAAAATTCTTTATATTTAGGTATAATTTTTAAATGATTAAACACACTATATTATAAGGACGGAGAGAGTACAGAACTATGGCCATCTGATATAGTTCCAAGATCTACATGCCAGGTTGAGATTTTATACACAGTAAATTAAAAAGTTTAAATATTTTCCTCAAAAAAAATTAAATATTTATATTTACTTTGAACTCATGCAAATGTACTCGACGTGGCTCTAGCTTCAGATTAAAGATTCTGTAGAGTTACAAATAGCTCTAAAAATTTCACAGATTTTTATTGGCCGAAGTTTTACTAAAATGGTCTATATGTACGAAGAAATTATAAAAGCATTTGACGACGACGATAAGGGAGCAACAACACGATAGGAGGCTGGGAGTAGGACTCCGCTCATATCAACCGTTGTTCTCGTTAATTAGAGCAGGCTAATAGTAGAGCCAATGGCTGATTGTATGTCATTGCTATATCATCTTATGGACTTAAAAGTCTACTATGAGAAGGTCTTCTTCTTATTGTTATGCCGCGGGGCAGTCGTACCTCCTCAGGTCGAGTTTTTTTACTTAAAGTCCACTCGTGTATAGTTGTATGGTAGGGATGCGCTATACTCTAGGCGCCTGAAAATCAACTTCCTTTCGTGCGACAAATTTCCATCGTTCGATGAACATCTGACGGATCTTAGGCATTCACTATTCATCATTCTCCTCCAGCACTTCGCTTTCTTCCACTGCTCGAGGCTGCAGCACTCCCCCCCCTCCCGTCGTGGAGCTCGAGCAAGACCCTACCGCGCCTACGGTGGCCTCCCTCTTCGCCTCCCTAGGCCCTCTCGCCGCCGCTTTCTTCTCCAACTCTAGTGAACGACCACGACTCCCTCGCTGCGACAGCCTCCACTGCCGCCAAGGCCCTGAACCGCTCGGCCGTCGTCCCCACCTCCTGGCCTGCCTACCTCCCCGGGAGGCTCTCCTTTTCCTAAGGTCGCCGAAGTTGGGAGAGACAGAGGAGAAGCTTGCTGGAGTTGGGAGAGAGAGGAGAAGCTCGCTGGAATCCTAACTCAGATCTAGGAGGAGGAGGAGGGGCCTACCTCGCCAGCGTCGCCGCCGCGTGGGGAGAGAGGGAGACACGTGCGCAGGTGTGGGAGCGGGTCACCTAAAATCTCAAGAGATTTCGAGCACCTGGTGTGTAGGAAATGTGCAATATTAATATTTGGTCTCACCTCGTTCTCTTAAATAGCTTGCCGTAAGTTTACCAACCCATTTATCTTTTCTCTCCATGTCAACAACACAGATCTGGTGTAGCATCTTCTGTCACCCGCTCACATCTACTATGCTGTATTCCAAGCACATGGAATTTCATTAATTTTTAGGCAACGGCTGTAACATTAGCAATCAACATCTGCAATGTTAGAGTACAACATTTGCAACATGTTCACAGCAGATCTAGTTTTCGGAAGAGAAAATCTCGCCACAACATAGTGTTATGTTGCATGGTTGCATGGTTTGCAACGTTGGATAACATCTGCAACATCGATCAACAACTGCTGCAACATTAAATATGTTGCCCGCAACAATCAAAATATTCAGGCACCTGGAACGTAGGAAGACTGATCTCTTACTAGGAGCTGTTTGCTTTGCCATCTGCGAGAGCTAAACCTGGCGGTGGCGTCGTCGCCCTAGGCGTCCGATTGGATCGCCTGGCAGGCCCTTTGCCTCGGAGAACGCAAGCCGGCCCTTGCAGCTGCATGCCGTATGGTATAGTCGCCCGCACGTCCGAACAGCGAGTCAGCGACGCCGCGAATTCAACTGTATTGCAGGTGTGCCGAAGGAACCAAGAGCTGCGGACGCTGAACTGGTGCGTGGTAGTACATACCATCGACCGTTACCTAACACTAACAGCTAAATACTTTTAGTCCTTGTCCACGTGGGTTGCCAGCTACGCGCGACCGGCTGTCCGGCTCCACCGACGGCGGCCGAGCAGAGAGGAAGCAGGACACGGCCGACAATCGATCGGACCACAACCGCAACCATGCAGCTGCTTCGCACGTCGTCGATGCGTTCGTGGGAGACGTCAAACCTGCACAAGCAGAACTGGCTTCGCGATTGGCGATCGCGATGAGTTGATACTTGCGGGCACTGCGGTGGACCAGGTACAAGCGCAGCAGCGCTGAGCTCGCCTCTGCCTCTGGGTATTTTATCACCAGTGATAGCAGTATGACCTGGGGACCTCCCCAGGTCAAGCTCTGCGAGTCGGTGAAACACATGGGCTACCGCTGCGGCAGTGAAGATCTCGTGTCTGAAGCAAGGAATATCTCGATGCACTTTCAAGAAGCCCATAAAACCTTGACTGTTTTTTTTTCTTATAGAGTGCGTAGTATGACGTTTCACTTTAAGATCCGCTGAGGTGAGTTGACCTTTGTTTATAACCACTGATGTTCAATCCCCTGCGCAACTATTCTCTGTCGCTCTGATGAGGAACGAACGAGCGAATTCTTCTTTGCACCAGAACCTACACAAGATTGATTGGCATCTAGCTCAGCCAAGTAGTATGGGCAATATACTAGCAGTGAAGCATTGCCAAACACAAAAGGTCGCGGTGACGTATCACAATTCAGAAACAGGTCAAGGACGAAACGAAACGCTAGTCCTATATGTATAACAGGGAAAAAAAAGACAAATCGCAACGATCAGCACCTGTTGCAACTGACGCCGCAAAAATAGTAGTGCTCGATCGAGGCAGAGCCCGGCTCTACGTTTTAGGACTCGAATTCACCCAAATCAATTGCAATGCAATCACGCGATCCTAATTTTTTTCATCACACGCCCATGCTATCAAGTTACATTCATCACTCTCCGTAACCACCCACTACTAATGCTAGCTCGGAAAAAGCTATATGGCGTTTTATCGGTGGTTTAGGTTGGACTGTCCGATTGTGATGTGAATTCAGTGCAATAATTTGAGACTTCCCTTTAATCTCATGTGGTTCACTAATCTAATCTATCCGGGCCCACACACAGCCAATCGCGGCCGCCCAGGTCTCCTATCTACGGGCTACGGCTCATGATGCGACTCATACGCCGGAGTATGTCGCAAGCAACGAGTCGCCACCACGTCTGTTAGGGAGCCACCGCACCCTCCCCCGCTCCGTACCCGACAGCACGTACCGGGTCCGCCCCCGCAAAACAGCATCGGCTCGGACAATCCGGGGGCCGGCCGCCGGCTACCGCGCGCCAGAAGCCCCCCAGATCGCCCCGCGGCCGCGCTCGTGAACCTCATGGACCCGCCGCCCCACGGAAGTCAAATGCCTCGTGGCCCCACCTGCCAGCCACCCGATCGCCCCGCCTCGGCGGATCGCCGAGCATTCCCGCGCACCTAACGCCTGCCTAATCGCGGTAGTAAACAAAGATCGCGCGGTGACGGTGGGGTGCGGGACGGGGCGTCCAGGTCCGGGCGCGCTGCGCTGTCGCCATCTATCGCACGCGGCACTCGTTGGAATCTCGCGCGCGGGGGCACCAGCACCAGCACCAGCACCTTTGCTTCCATTGGAAGCGCAAATGTCTGCTACCTCCTCCGCCTCGTCGCCCCCCCTGCACGGATTACTGGTTTCTTATTGGCACCAGATCGGAAAAGGGGAGGAATTAAATTGTGGAGTCGGGTGGTGAGATCTGAGCCTTGCTTAGATAATGGTTGGGAATCAGTATTCGGTACTGTAGCACTTTCGTTTGTATTTGATAATTATTATCCAATCATGGTCTAACTAAGCTTAAAAGATTCGTCTCGTAATTTATAATCAAACTATGTAATTAGTTATTTTTTTATCTACATTTAATACTCCATACATATGTCAAAAATTTAATGTGATGGAGAGAGAATGAAAAAACTTAAAATCTAAACAAGACCCTGATTTAGATTGGTTGATTAGCCCGGTTGGTAGCAGCAGCAGTCGGTGGTGGTGTGGTGTGGTGGTGCAAGAGAGCAAGGCCCTGACCGACTGCCTCTTGCCTGCCTGCATCTGCATCTGCATCTCTGTTCGAGTGTGTGAAGTGCGGGCTCTATAAACAGAGGTTTTTATATGCGTGCCATTATAAAAGTTGGTAATTATCTATAAGTCATTAAAAAAGTTGATATTTCACAGATGCCACTGCTGTGAACTTTTTTGTCCTCCACGTCACTTCCGTTAGATTTGGTTCTAATGGTGTTAAACCACGGTTATGAAAAGTTTAAAATACCTTCAGGTCTGAATATGCAATTAATTTTTTTTGGGCATCTTAATGACCTCGAATAAAAAACTCAAAACTAGAAAGTTGTAGATCTCGACAATATTTACAATTTTTGTATAAAAATTATCTTTATTTAATTCTGTAAAAAAATTTGATTTGATATTATTAATGTCTTAGAAAAATTATATTTTTTTATGGAATCAAATAAAGATAATTTTTATAAAAAATTTGTAAATCTCTAGTTTTTAGTTTTTTTTATTTGAGATCATTAAGATGCTAAAAAAATTAATTATATATTTAAATTTGAGATATTTTTAATTTTTCACATCCATAAGTTTGACATCGTTAGATCTAGATCTGACAGAAATGACGTGGGGAGAGAGCCATGGCACGAAAACTCAAATTTTTTTAATAGCTTAGACACACAAGTAAAAGCCTCCTATAAATACGACTCAGATCTGGAGGCACCTCCTCCTCGTCCGCCCCAGTCTAATCCGTCCGCCCCAGTCTAATCCGATTCAAACCGCCCGTTCCCCGTGTCGGAGCCAAGCAAGCCGAGCCCAATCCCCAGAGCCAGCTGCTCGGTGAGCGCCGCTCCCTTCGTCGCCTCCTCACGCTTCGTTGCTTGCAATCGCGCGATCGTCTGGCCTCGCCTGGTTCCGGTGTGTGATTTCTCTGACGGGTGATTTGGTTTGGATCTGGTCGGACCAGGTGCTCCACGCGATGGCGCAGAAGGAGACCAATGGCAGCAACGGCGAGCACATCTCCACCCGCCCGCCGCCGACCCCCTCGCCCCTCCGCTTCTCCAAGTTCTTCCAGGTGAGAGCGCGAGCGCGATCTCAACGCTGGATCTCTATCTCACTCGCCGCCAGGTCTGGGCCTGTTCGCGTGGTCCGGATCCTGATTATTGGTGCCAAATTGCTGTTTGATCCAGGCTAACCTGCGGATCCTCGTCACTGGTGGGGCGGGCTTCATCGGCTCACACCTCGTAGACAAGCTCATGGAGAACGAGAAGCACGAGGTACGTGCGCCCCGGACGAGATCCCGTATCATTTCGTTGCTTGTTTTGCGGGATCGGGCTGTTGGGCCAAATCCATTTTGATGGTGGCCGTCTAGATCTCACCTGAGTGATAAGACCAGGAACTGAGTGGGTCCAGATCCACGTGAAAGGGACGTGAGTTGGAGATAATTGTTCCAGATCTCCGGGGATTTACATTTTGCATCATGTGGGTCAGTTGCTGTATAGAACTTTAGCTGGAAGCTTTGCTTGAGTATTGGGTACTTCTGTGGATCTGGTTGCTAGTGTGAGAGATCACTGAACTCAGTGAGATCCAGCGGGACTGTTTGCATTACTTTGTAGAGCTTAATATAAGCTATAAGCTATAGCATTGCTATAGTCCTGAATGTTTGATCGTGGATCTGATTGGGAATTTGAGAAATCACAGAGATCTAGTGTCAATGCTTTAGAGATCTTGTTTACTGCTACTTCATTTTCAGCTTCCTGACATAGTTTCTGGAAATCATGAGTGCTATTGCGCTAATTACTGTAGAGTTGTTTCGTGTTACACTTGGTTTGTGGGGTTGAGCAACCATTGAATTCCAGGGTTCTTGCTATGGGTCTTGTCTTGCATACATTTTGGATGTTGACTTAAGGTCCTTTACGTTCAGGTCATTGTTGCTGATAACTTTTTCACTGGTTCAAAAGACAACCTGAAGAAGTGGATCGGCCACCCAAGATTTGAGCTCATCCGTCATGGTAAATAACTAGTTAGCTATGCATGCTTAAGATATTTTAAGTCTTCTCTTTCAGAGGATCCTGAAAGTTATGAATCCTGGATAGTCTATTATAAATAAACTGCTATTTGTTTAGGTTGTCCTGTGTTTGTCCTAATAAGTCCTATGTTGTTTGTGCAATGCCGTTAATAGTTTATAAATTATTATTGAAGCCCTAGTTGTTGACTACTATACTCTCTCACTTGGTATCTGTATTTATTTTTGTCTTTTTGAAAGGGATTGAATCATGTTTAGTCAATGCAATTGAAGTACCACCTTTTTTGTATCATATAGTCAATGCATGTCTTGAGTTGTCTGTTGAATGAATTTTCTTTCTTCTGCTCTTAATTGGCCATGTACTATTGATTTGTAACTTACTGTTGGAAACTCATATTTGGAGTGCAAGCATGTCATTCAAGTTAATTTCTGACATTGGTGGTGGAACTTCATTGCTGATCATTAAAATGTAATGATGGAACAGATCATGCACTCAAATTAATAGTTTCATGTCCTCATGGGCCGTCTAACAAATCACTCTTCTCAGTTATTCCTTTTTTAATCAGTATGTGCTTCCTCATGAGTTAGGCACTTATTCTGTAAATTCTTTCTATCTGTTTTAGATGTCACCCAGCCGCTTCTTGTGGAGGTTGACCAAATCTATCACCTTGCTTGCCCTGCTTCACCAATCTTCTACAAGCACAATCCTGTTAAGGTATGCTAGTTCTCTGCTCTGTAAGAGGTGGTATACTGTTTCATAGTTTTTCCTGATATTGGTGTTCGTAATTGTCTGAAACAGACCATCAAGACCAATGTTATTGGTACCCTGAACATGCTGGGACTTGCAAAGAGAGTTGGAGCTAGGTCAGTGTTCATCATGCCATTGATTCTTCCAGTACCTCATGTGAAAAACTCAATTACAGAATTTATTTGAATTGCAGGATTTTGTTGACATCGACCTCAGAAGTTTATGGTGATCCGCTTGAGCATCCTCAAACCGAGGCCTACTGGGGCAATGTTAACCCAATTGGTAAATCTGTTCATCTGACACTTGAAATATATTTGCTTTGTTTTTCATAAATTATCTTTCAAGTTTCAAGTTCTCTTACAGTTTTTATTTAACTTTTTTTTTTCTATCAGGCGTCAGGAGCTGTTATGATGAGGGTAAGCGTGTAGCAGAGACACTGATGTTCGACTATCACAGGCAGCATGGCATTGGTAATACTTCATCTTGCACTTAAACTTCAATATTAGCTCATAGCCCTCTTTGTTGTGTGATAACTCGGGCTTATGATTTGTCCTTAATAATATTTATCATCTATGTCTGTAGAAATCCGAATTGCCAGGATTTTCAACACCTATGGGCCTAGGATGAACATTGATGATGGCCGTGTTGTTAGCAACTTCATTGCTCAGGCTGTGCGGTAATGCTTGTTGTATTTCTTTTATTTTCTTCCCAGCTACTGCCAGATAGTTTTGGCAGCTAATCTTTTCACAATCTTGTAGTGGTGAACCCCTGACTGTCCAGAGGCCCGGAACACAGACTAGGAGCTTCTGCTATGTTGCCGATATGGTTTGTCTAACATTGCATTCTCAATTGGTTTGTTGTTGGTCAGAACCCTGTCAGTGCATTATATCAACTATACCATTCATTGCAGGTTGATGGTCTTATTAAGCTGATGAATGGAAACAACACTGGACCGATTAACTTGGGGAACCCAGGTAAAATCCATCTGTATTTTCACTTTTGTTGCTACAGAGTGAGCTACTCAATCTGCGTTATCGTATATACATTCCTGTAGTAACAAAGTTGGGTCCCATCTTTCTGCTAAATGGTTGTAACTTGTGCCACAGGTGAATTCACCATGCTGGAACTTGCTGAGAATGTGAAGGAGGCAAGTTGGATTCTATATAATCGCAATGCTTCCCAAAGCTTGGTAAATCTTGACAGATTACTGACGTGCCTACTTAACTTCGCAGTTGATCAACCCAGATGTGACAGTGACGATGACCGAGAACACTCCTGATGATCCCCGCCAGAGGAAGCCAGACATCACAAAGGCGAAGGAAGTTCTGGGGTGGGAGCCCAAGATCGTCCTGAGGGACGGCTTGGTGCTCATGGAGGATGATTTCCGGGAGCGCCTGGCCGTGCCCAAGAAAACCAAGGCCTAAACTGCCCTGCGGTTGGCGAAGAATATCCACGGGGGAGCATACTCATAGTTGGGTTCGTCATTATTCGTGGCCACATTTCATTACGGAATTTGAGTTCCAATAAACGGAATATACCTTTGTCGTTCACCTTGAAGGATTGTATTATTAGAATTTTCATACAAGGCTGGCCGTTTGAGTCTCTGCCTACGCAGATCTTGTGGTACTTGTGTTTGTAGCCTATATGTACTCCCTGAGTCGATTATAGCAATGTTGATGCCATTTTGAGCTTTTTGTTGCTTCCTTTTAGCTGCCTGAGACTGATCGCCAGGCTCCAGCTTACATGGCTGCGCTGCACATTTGTGATTGTAATGGACTTGCCATGGCATTATGGCAAGGTGTCGTTGTCTGTCTGAAATTCTGTAAACTGGAGTACTACCAGACTTCCAATCTTAGTCTGGTTTCGGCGCTTTTCCAACGAGAAGCCAGAGAGTCCCAATCTAGTCTGGTTCGGCAATTTTCCAACGAGAAACACATCTCGTGCCGTGGAACGACAGAACCTTCTTTTACCCGTTCGCGACAGGACGTTCCTTTTCCTATGAGAGCAACTCGATTGACAAAAACAACCAACTTTTCCCCAAAAACTGTGGTGTCTCTATATATATATAGAGAGAAATAGGTAAAAAAAAACATGCCCCCGGGACGGAACAGAGGGAACATTTTCTTATCCATTCACATGTAGAGACGTACGGCCCCGTTCGGCTTGCTGAAACCTGGCTGAAAAAAAACACTGCTATGGCTGAATTGTTGTGAGAGAAAAACACTGTTTCCGGCTGAAAAAACAAGCCGAATAGACCGGTTTCTGGATAAGCCGAACGGGGCCTTAGAGAGGATAAGGTTTTATCAATCCACTGCAGGACCCATTGCTAAGTTGGACAAAATACTTGCCATTAATTTGACAAATCAAATATGAGATGTTATCAAATTTTGATAGCAAACCAAATGGTAGTAAAAAACTTAACCTTTCTAAGTTTTGTGCTAAGTAAATTTTGACCATTAACCAATCATTTCTCAATCTGATGAATCGCTCCTAGCCGCACTGAGACGACAGATTTGACTGCCCGTTACGCCGTTACGAACGGTAAACGTGACAGGAGTGTCACGAAGTTTCCCTGTGGTGCCTTCCCGCATCGCATCTGCCACCCGAGACGCAGGTGACGCGACGACTACGCGAGACTAGCGAAGTGAACCACGAGCAAGGAATGATCCAACGCTTCCGTTCCAAGCAACTAGCCCTGTGCACTGCCCGCTACGTGCCCAGCGCCCGGCAAGGGGAAGGGGTCGTGTTGGTGTTGGTGGCACTATCCGCCTGCCATCTTTTTTACTCCGTCCGGCCTCCAGGCAGTATTTGCGTTTGCGATACGAAACCAGCGTTTATAGCGCACAGAAAAAACATGATCACGTCCCAATGGGGCCAATAGCCATACATGCAGACACCGACTGAGATCCGCATGATGCCTGCATCCCATCTGCTTAGTGCGAGAAGACCGACGCCTACCGACTTCCCGTCACGCCCCGTCTACGGTACCTGATCTGTGTGGCCTGTGTGGGGGCGTATGAGCTGCGAGAAGACGCCTACCAACTTCCCGTCACGCCCCGTCGTGCCGTCCAAATACCTGAGCTGTGTGTGGCCTGTAGGGGCGTATGAGCTGCGAGCTGCGAGAAGACGCCTACCTACTTCCTGTCACGCCCGTCCACGTTACCTGTCTGAGCTGTGGCCTGTGGAGCGTGTGAGCTCCGGGCACCCGCACCGGGGGCCGCGACTCCGGCAGCGAGACTGCGAGAGCACGCAAGACGGCAAGAGCAGCCGCCGCGTGTGCTGGACGGACGGAACAGACGGGCGCGTCCACGCGGCTAACGGGTCAGGGTCAGGGTGGCTCGCACTGCGCGGCCCGCCTTTATAAGTCGCCAGACCCTGCCTCCCGATCTCGGACTCTCTTCCCGGCTCTCGCTTCCCATCCCCCACCCCTCCCGACTCTTCGTCGCGGCAAGCATCACCGTTGCCCAGTCCCCTGCCGTTGCCCAACCGTGATTTCCGTCCTTCACCTCCGCTGCCCGCACGTGACGCGCATCGCCGCGAGCGCGGAACCGTCCACCGGCTCGGCGACAGGCTTGCGCACCGGCTCGGCTCGTGTCGGTTCTGCCGCCACCGCGGGCCGCGGCGCTCCCGGATCTCGGTGACCGCTTCTCGTAAGTCCCTGCTCTCGAATTTGATCATGCGAATTCTCATATTGTTCCTGGGGGGCGGTTCCTCTGTTGGCTCCTTGTGGTGGCGAGCGCGGTAGATCTGATCCTCGCGGCTCTCCGTCCATGTGCGGTCGCGTGGGTGGGTTACGTGGGTACGCAGCGTGATCTGGCATTTCCTGCTTCAAAGGGATGGCCATGGGGTTTGGTTGCCGCGTGAGTTGGTCCTCTAGATTCGTGGATCATGATGATGGGCGGGCACCTTTTGGTGATTGCTTGGGCTAGGACATTCGCTGTCTTACCGTTTTAATGATGCTTATTATTATTATTACTGGTAGAGTTAATGATCCTTAGTAAGTACTCGTAGAGATGATCCTCACTGGTATAGCTAATTGCGCTCCTGACACACAAAACTCAAGTAGGTAAACCAACGTTATGGAGAGTTTGCCTGTTCTAAGCATAAATGTTTACATTTGAGCAATTTCAATTTCAGGTTACATTCGAGTACTGCAATTTCTCTTACTAAATTGTTTCCATATTTTCTACTCATTGTTTGTCAATGAAATAGTATTTGCTATGGAAGGCAACCAGATCTCTGCTTTTAGGGAGTGTTTGGATTCATGCCACGCTTTGCCTCGCCACAGCTGTGGCCGCCACCATTTATTAGGCTACTAGTGTTTGGTTCATGCACAGCTTTTGGCAGCCACAGCGCATGCACACTTCTTTTTCGGCAGACTGTGGCGCTGGATTTTTATGCCACACGCCACAACTAGCCGCAGCTGGGCGTGGCTGGACGTGGCCCAGAACCAAACGCCACAACTTTCCTGTCATTTCACTTCCTCTGTTGATGGCTCTGTGTTCTGAGATGATATTTTGTAATGATGTGTCTTAGTCCCTCCGTCCCTAAATAAGTGCACTTCTAAAATTGTGGTAAAGATACTAATGTTAGTGAGAAATTACATATATACCCCTATAAAGGTGTAATCATTGCGGTGCACTTCTAGAATTGTGGTGAAGATACCAATGTTAGTGAGAAATTACATATATACCCCTATAAAGGTGTAATCATTGCGATTGGGAACAAAGAAAGTAGAAAAAGACAACTAGAGTTGGTTTGTCTCATATGCAGATGTGCTCTTATTTTGGGGAAAAAAAATTGAACTCTAGAAGTGCACTTATTATGGGACGGTGAGAGTACTTTGGTAGTGGCTTGTGGTAGAAGCCGGCGTAGTCTGTGTTTCTACATGCTTTTGTTCTAGCTACTTCTAGCATTTCCTTTGCTGTCTGAACTTTCTATAACTCTGTATTTCCGTTATTTCGGTAATGGAAACGGGGATGGCCTCGGTTCAATTTTTTTTCACTTCCTCAACTTTAGAAGATAGGCAATCAATCTAAGAGTACTCCTGATCTCATTGTGTTTTGTAACACACTAACAGGTCAGAGAATTAGCAGACAAAGATGGCGACTTATGAGCCCAAGAACATTCTCATAACCGGCGCTGCTGGTTTCATTGCATCACATGTCGCCAACCGCCTGGTTAGGAACTATCCCCAATACAAGATTGTTGTCCTTGACAAGATTGACTACTGCTCCAACCTAAAGAACCTCAATCCTTCATGGTCTTCACCAAATTTCAAGTTTGTCAAGGGTGATATTGCAAGTGCTGACCTGGTGAATTACCTTCTGATCACCGAGTCAATTGACACCATCATGCACTTTGCTGCTCAGACACATGTTGATAATTCTTTTGGCAATTCATTTGAGTTCACAAAGAACAATATATATGGCACCCATGTTCTTCTTGAGGCTTGCAAGGTTACTGGTCAGATCAGGAGGTTTATTCATGTCAGTACTGACGAGGTGTACGGTGAAACTGACGAAGATGCTGTAGTTGGTAACCATGAGGCCTCACAGTTGCTTCCAACAAATCCATATTCAGCTACAAAAGCTGGGGCCGAAATGCTTGTGATGGCATACGGAAGGTCTTATGGTCTTCCTGTGATTACCACTCGTGGCAACAATGTGTATGGGCCAAATCAATTCCCTGAGAAACTCATCCCCAAATTCATTCTTTTGGCCATGAGAGGTCTGCCTCTTCCAATTCATGGAGATGGTTCCAATGTCAGGAGCTACCTGTACTGTGAGGATGTGGCCGAAGCTTTTGAGGTGGTTCTTCACAAAGGAGAAGTTGGACATGTGTATAATATTGGTACTGTGAAGGAGAGGAGGGTGATTGATGTGGCCAAGGACATATGCAAGCTCTTTGGCTTGGATACTGAGGAAGTCATCAGATTTGTTGAGAACAGGCCCTTCAATGACCAGAGGTACTTCTTAGATGATCAGAAGCTAAAGAGATTGGGATGGGCAGAGCGCACACCATGGGAAGAGGGCTTGAAGAAGACGATGGAGTGGTACACCACCAATCCTGATTACTGGGGAGATGTCACTGGTGCGCTGCTCCCTCATCCAAGGATGTTGATGACTCCTGGAGTTGAAAGGCATAACTGGGCTGAAGAAATCAAGTCTCTGACCTCTTCGCCAGCTGAAGCTAGTACAATAGCTCCTGCAACCAGTACCAAAAGCATCTCTGATGCCCCTCAGAAGCCTTCCTACAGGTTTTTAATCTATGGCAGGACTGGATGGATTGGTGGCCTCCTTGGCAAGATTTGTGACAAGCAAGGGATTCCATATGAGTACGGGAAAGGGCGCTTGGAAGAGCCATCTCAGCTGTTGGAGGACATTAGAAATGTGAAGCCAACTCATGTCTTCAATGCTGCCGGAGTCACTGGGAGACCGAATGTTGACTGGTGCGAGACCCATAAACAGGACACTATCCGCACCAATGTTGTAGGCACTTTGAATCTTGCTGATGTCTGTCGTGAGCAGGGTCTGCTCATGATTAATTATGCTACAGGCTGTATATTTGAGTATGATGCTAAGCACCCTGAAGGGTCTGGTATTGGCTTTAAAGAGGAAGACACACCCAACTTTATGGGTTCCTTCTATTCTAAAACGAAAGCAATGGTAAGTTCGGGGGGTTTTTTTATCAACGATTTTTTTTCTACTTCGTCGTTATGCGTGAAGCTAATTTCTGTGCTGTTCATCATGGTGCAGGTGGAAGAGCTATTGAAGGAGTATGATAATGTCTGTACTCTTAGGGTCAGGATGCCCATATCATCAGATCTAAGCAACCCTCGTAACTTCATCACAAAGATAGCTCGTTACGACAAGGTGGTGAACATTCCCAACAGCATGACAATTTTGGATGAGCTTCTGCCTATCTCTATTGAGATGGCGAAACGGGACTGCAGGGGAATATGGAACTTCACCAACCCTGGTGTTGTTAGCCACAATGAGATTCTAGAGATGTACAAGAAATACATCAATCCTGATTTCAAGTGGACCAACTTCACACTCGAAGAGCAGGCCAAGGTCATAGTCGCACCTAGAAGCAACAACGAGATGGACGCGTCGAAATTGAAGGCTGAGTTCCCTGAGCTGCTGTCCATCAAGGACTCTTTGATCAAGTATGTCTTTGAGCCAAACAGGAAGGTTCCTGTTAATTGAGGATTTAGGTCACGGGGGTGTGGAGGTTATTTGTATTGGTTATTATTGGACACTAAATTAGTTAATGTTGCATGGTGGTCCGTACTAGTTGTGTACGATTCTTTTGGGACAATAGCAAGCATACCTTTTTCTCGTCATTGATTATATACTAGCCCGGGAGGCGCGCTCCGCTGCGCCGGCTCATATACTGCATGCATAATCGGAGCCTTGACGTACCATAAATTCATGGTTTGGTTGGCGCATTATTTGGGCATTAGTGTTTGGTGCACCGGCATAGGCCTGTGTCTGTGTGCCTGCTGCCCTAAATGGTCCGGTGTACATTTATATTTGTAGAATACTAAAGGCATTGACCTAACAGAGCACCAAAATATAAAATAAGTTTTCAGATAATACAAAGGACATGAACTGTCAGTTTATTAAAGGCATCGTCCTAAGAGAGCAACATAATATAAATTTTATTAACATGCCGACATACTTTGCAAATGTTGACGAAGATATGAAAATGTTCAACAGAGAAAGAAACCAAACGTGTTTTCCTATAAATATAAAACACAAGCTCTTATGTTTACAAATGCCAATAACAGTCAGGTACAAATTTAAATTTGTCTGCACAAAAGCTTCGCATGAACAAAGTTTATCTGAGTACAGTCCTATTTGCAGATGCCTTGTTTCTATTTACAGTTGATCTTCTCTATATAAATTACTGGAACAAAATAGAGGATACACATACACTAACATCAGTATGAACATATTATTGTACTTACAAAGGCAAAGAATACAATTACAATTTGAAAACAAAGTCTAGCTTTGAGCTGACATAACAGAGGCTGAAATAACTCATAGAATGAAGAAAAAAAAAAGGTAAGAAAAGATTGAAAGACAAAAAGTGAACAGCACAACTGAACAAAAGAAGATTGTTTTCTCGAATACAAATGAGATCTACATAGCATGCTATTGTAGACGGAAAACCTGGTACAAAATGAGTTCTAAACCTTAGAAATTACATAAGACATGGCAGGTGCTAAAAAGAAAATAAGCAAAAAGGATTGCAGGCCACACCTGTTAGCAATTGTTTGGATACATTATTATGTGTGAACAATAAAGAGGCATATAAAGAGGAAAATACAAATGTGAAGAACTCAAATCATATAGACTGCACATTCTGTAGGAAAACTAAAGGCATGATGTGTCAGAGCCTCGTACCGTCTAAAAGGAAGCAAAAGGCACACAAGTGATTCGATATAGCCAGAGAATCCTGTACAGAACAATTCTATGTCAATAGATTTTCAGCAATTCGAATAATGCACGACATAATCAGAAATGACAAAAATCTAAAAGAACAAATGAGAAGGAATGCACCAGATATGTAGTAACTGGTGAACATTAAATAGATGTGAAGGTCTGAATAGCTTTCTAAATTTTTTCTTTGTCTTGAACATGTAATATAGTAAAAGATAAAGGTCCCTTATGACAGCTACATTGGGGGAAAACAATGTTCAATACTAAGAAATGAATAAAAAGGTGAAACTAACAGTTTTTAATAAATGCGGGGAGAAGAATAGAAAGCACAACACATGTACAGGTAGAGGTGTGTTAATCTTAATAGTTTTGAACCATTAACAACTACAAAGATAGATCTTATAAGCAGAAATTAGATGCCACGAGAATATGATGGAGCACCTAGCAGTGGCTCAGTCTATGGCCTAGTCTCATATTGCAATCGGAAAATACAGAAATAAGAACGAAACCATGAACAGAAAAAGGAAATGAATCATGGAGTAATCATCAAAAACAGTTTTCTGGTGACAGTAGAGTAGGTAGGAAAATAATTAAATTCTCATAGATAAAAAAGCTCAGATTATTAAGGATAGAGCACCAGGAAGCAGTCCCTGTGAATAATATTATAGACATATGTTCAACAATATAAAGAATCCGTAATACAATTTCAAAATAGGTTAGAACAACAATTATGCCATGGTAGGAAATCTGCATTGTGCTAGACCATAAAAAAAATTGAGATAAAGGAACAACATACAGCTTACCCTGTGGTCAAGTTCTAGAATATCAATCTCAGTCCCATGTGTTAGAATGAAACCCAGGTGAGAATCCTGTATACAAATATATATGCCTAATTATTAAAAAAAAGGTAGCTATAATAATATAATACTGTAGGAGACACTTAATGGACCATATAGCTATTCCAAATGCTAAATTTTCAATCATCACAGTTAGAGGACATGTGAACTTGACTGGCTGGAATGAATTTGGCTATAAGAAATTTGTAGACAATATAAGCAAATAGAATAAAGTTAAATTAGAGGTGAGGTATCAACATCCACTGTAAATTTAAGCAAACTGAGTAAACACGAATTAGAGGACCACCTACAGTGCATTTGGCGAAGAGGCCCATAAAGATAAATTACAATGCTATTATTTTAGCAGCTGTAGCAAGAGGAGAGTATAACCTGAGCAAATTTGTCGTTTGAAATTCGATGCCTACATAAATAAGAACATGCATGTATGCAGTTAGAAACTAAACATATAAGTTTATAATGGAAATCTGACAATGCTGGAAACAATGGCGTACCTTGGTAATTAGTGTATACATGAAGGGACCTCCTAGAGGGGGTTGATTTGCATGCAGATATCAGTTGCACAAGAACTTGACATGATATATTTTAGCCATTTCTCTTTACCCCAATCTGCAAAAGGAAACCATTATATTTGCTTCTTCGTAGGTATTTTATCAGTGTTAAACTGTGAATAAATAATGGCTGCAGAAGAGTCGTTCTTTTCAGCATAACGATATAGCACTTACAACCGAATTGATTTTTTACAGATGTGAATCTAGTATAACAGGAACACACAATTTACATTTACATAGTACCTATTGTTGTAACCTGAAGAAGGTAGGAAGAAAAGAACTATAACCTCGGTAAAATTCCTTGTATTCCAATGTACACATTCAAAGGCACACTAACCTTAAAGTCTGATGTGCCTATCTGTTCAGCAGGACGGAATGGCTGGCCTGCTTGGTCGCTGGGCACGGAGGAACCGCAGCAGGTCCGGTTGGCTGCTGGGTCTCTTCGTCTTCAGCTGGGGAGAAGAATCACTGCAGCAGGGCCTCGGGGGTCCGCTGAGTGTCGCTAGTCACGCGAACAAAGAGTCCGATCGCACCAATTGAACGCCATTATGTACTGAAACTGTAGTAGAAAAACTAATCGAGTTCGCGAAGAAGGTAGACAGATCGAGCAACTCTTAAGGCAGGTCAAGATAAAACACCAGATCGAGATCGAGCAACTCTTAAGGCAGGTCAAGATAAAACACTAGATCGAGATCGAGGAGGAGGGGACACGAACCTCAAGTGGCGAGGCACTCAACGGCGTCGGCCAGATAGACCTGGAGGAACCCCATGCTTAGCGGCGGAGACGAGGATGAAGGCGGCCTTTCGCAGGCGCTTCTGCGCCGGGCCTGCTCGCGCCCCAAAACGGTGTCGCACCGATGAAAGCTTAGTTTGGTTTTTTCTTGAATTCACGAAACCCTACGTGCTAACTGCTCAACTGATTACGAGATATGTAGCAAAATTCTTAGTGACGGAGCAAATAAATATCATGATAATAATGGTGTGACCACGGTGCTTAAAAAAGGAAAAAGAGAAAAATAAAAAGCTCAAGCCAAATATAAAATTTGATATGAGTTTTTTTTTTTAGTTTGGTGATCGAGACACTTAGCGAGTATGATTATATTTAGGATAGATAGTCGTACTATTAAGAGGAGTGAAACTCATCTTGAAATACGGTTATCAAAGTGCCACTAGATGTTTTAACTCATTGTATATGCATTTAAATCCAGTGGAGAGCTAACACCCTTAAAAATATTTATGAAAATATACTAACACACGTGCACAAGGTGAAACACTTGATGATTGACACATTTGATCAAGGGTGGTGAAGTTTGATGAAGAGGAGACGCTATTTCTGGTGACCGGACGCAGGATCAGACCCTGGACCTGCGCGTCTGGTCAGTGGTGCAGAAGGGCGCGACCTCGGTCTGAGGAATGGAAGCTGGCGAGGAGAAGTGACCGGACGCGCGGGGAACACTGTTCCCACGTCCGGTCAGTGCTGGTATGGCGCTGGCGCTTGGCTCGGGTGAAGAACGGACGCTGGGTGAGTCCGATCGTCCATGATTAGACGCGTTCGATCGACAAAAACCGTTTCTGGACCCTTACTGGATCCGATCGGACGCATTGTGGCGTTGAGTCAGGTCGCGAGGTGGCGCGTCGGGTCGCGGTGTTGGGCGTGGGGGCGAGCAAGCGAGCGGACGCAGTCGCGGTGCGTCCGGTCACACGATGCTGCGTCCGGTCTCAACTTAACGGGTGTGCGCGATCAACTCGACCATTGGAATCAAGTGGCCGAGGTCAAATCGCGGAGGACACGTGGCAGCAATCGAGGGACCGGACGCAGGGGGTGGTAGAACCGCCTAATCTAATGTCCTCCCAATGGTACTTGTCTTCTATTAGACACTGAACCCCTAAGAGAGTGCACTAAATCATGCCGTTCCGTCGAGCACACCCTTAGGAAGAACTCGAAAATCCATATTTTTCCATCAGGATCATAAATGATGGTATAAAGTTTACAACATTCTTAGTCATTTCTTACATCACTTTATTACAACATTAGGGTACTTAAACAAGTTGAATGCAATAGCGGAATTAAGAGAGTTTATACATTTTAGGTTCACATTTTTATCTTATAGCGGAGAACAATATATGATTAGAGTTACAACAGAAATAAAGATTAATGGTGAATCATTAACATAGGGAACATTTATAAACCAGATATGATGATAGATCATAAAACTTTTCTTCTAAAAACCTTTAGTGATGGTTATAAATAAGCACTATGATCATAGCGTGAAAGGAATTCTCTATGGGCCCACCAGGATGTTTCCACACACAAGAGTCAGCGCTATGTATCCTCCGGTCACCTGCAACAGGGGAA